GAGCACTAATCATTTCTTTATCCTGGATTCTTTCTTATCCGCTTTTTTTTTTTTTTGCACTACCTGTGGCTTGTCGGACACGTAAATAAATATCAGCTTTCAACACGCGACTTTAAAGGAGTACTTTCATAAGAATTATAACTCTTTTCTCGCGTAGGGCTTGACTTCCGTTCTGAACATCGCGGCGAGTCGCCTGATAGGCGTCATGTAAACAAGCAAGTTATACAGTCACCTGCAGTTTCAAATAGTTTAGTTAAGAGAGCATTTTGAGAATCAATTAGAATTCGTAAGGCAATTTTTTTACAGCCACACATGTGTATGTATCTCGAAATTTGTCTCTAATGAGTAAATTGAGATATTTCATTCCATGGGGGAAGAATTAGTTAAACGGCTCAATTTTCTAGATCCAGCGTATTAGTTTTCAAACGAACTTTAACATTTAATAACGTAAATCAGAGATTTGCACACAATTACATATAATTATTTGCATTTATATATGTAATAAATATTAAAACTTCTATGTATACTCCTTATTTAAATTTAAATTAAAATTTATAAAACCTCAAAATATATTTACTTATAAAATATGAAATGAAATATTTTCAAAGCATTATACGTAAATATATATATATATATCTATATATCATCATAATTTTTTTTTTAATCTCTTGATCGTTAGATTAATGTGCAAACTGCATTGTTATTTCTAAACTTTAATTTGATTAAGTTTCAGTACCACTAAAAGTAATTGTTATTGCATATTTATCTATAAGGTTTCGATAAACATAAATATTAATTCAAACAAACCTTTCATTCATTACGATTGTTTAGTCAATTACTTTGTCAATTCAGTTCATCAATAATTTTATATCACGCCATTATCATAGAATGTAATGAATGAAATTGTAATGAAAAATTTTTTAACTATTCAACTATAGAAGTTAAATGTAAAAATGATTTATCACTTATAAATGTGTGAAAATACAAAAGCAATCGACTTTTTACCGATATAAGTAATAAAGAATAAAATTATGAAAAATATATTGCATAATTTTCATGTAATTTTAATAAGAATTTGTAAAGCTTCAATATTTACTTCTTCAACTTGCGATTAATCTGAAGCGAATATTTGCTCATATATTTTTATTAATATGCAATTGTATCATTTTCTATTTGATTAACATATTAAAAAGCATTTTTATTATATTAAAATATAATATTTTAAATTGGAATTAAATATATAGTAATATACTCTCTAATATTATTATACATATAATACTTATATTAATATATATTAAATTAGTGTATATAATATATGCCAAGCTTTTGTAAACTTTAAATACGTTTACGATAATAAATATTCCCACAACTCTACTTTATAGCAAAACAAACCCCAAATAATATTCCAAATAGTGAATAAAATAGCAATTTAATTTATCTGATTTTTAAAGAAAATGATTTTTGTTTTTTAGATGGTTAACCACCAATGACGAGAATGATATGATTAATAAGATATGAAACTATCATTCGTCATAAATTATAATTTATTGGTCATTATATCTGATATCTTTGAGGAAACGTGGATACTGTACTATATATATATATATATATATATATATATGTAAGAGATATTGGCATCGAAGAAATTTAAGAGAATCTGCTGTAGCTAACCGCGAAAATGTAATTACCGAATGTTACGATGAACTACCACCGATCGCTAGTCGACCATTCTTTATAATGGAAGCAATAAATTTCGTTACCGAAATATATTTTTCTGGCTTATCGACGAAGCATCGACATAATTATCCGATTTAAAAAACACATATGCACGCGCGCGCATACAGATACTAGAGTTATGAATCTAGGTCTACTTTTCAAATAATCAATTTCTCGTTTAAAATGCATCCACAGGTTTTTCGGAATCGCAATACCGTTATTACATATCCTTAATTCACTGCCTTTATATTGCTAAATAACCTTACATCGGATTTAATTTAATTTTCAATTATCTCACGATAAACCTAAATATAAATCATCAATTTATAAAAGTTCATTGATTTTTAACTTGCAATTAGATACGTAAAGAATCTCATTTACCTTTATTGTGAGACTTCATTATGGCAATATGTCTTTAATTAAATATTTATGCATATATTCGAGAAATAAATGCTGCCAATCCAACGAAAAGCAGCCAATATGGATAAATGTGTGCAAAATACGAAAATGAAGATCGAGCCTTATTTTTAATATCGAATTTATCGACGAGCGGAATGCATATAAATATGAAGCTCAAAGCACCGAGTAACTCGAACAGGACTAAAGAAGTTACCAATAAGCAGTATTAGTCAATATTGAAGAAATTGCAATGCGCAGCTAATTGAATCGCAAATAAATCGTCGCTCGACTCGTACCGACATTTAGCATAAATCCTATCGATTCGTATGTCAAGGCGAGAGTCGCTCGTAGAAGCGCTTCATGCAACATTGTAAATGAAAGCGAAAGGATGCGTATGTTAGAAAGGGATAAATAGCGGCGGCGCGTAAGGGCTCGCGTGCGAAAACGATAAAGAGCGATTTTCCATCGCTCATAAACGTCGAAGCTCGTGTATCTCTCGAGATAGTCAGTTGACGGGGCGCACAAGCGACAATTGCTTAACAAGTGAAAATTCGACTTATCGCGCGCACAAGTGCTCCCTTGTCTAACAACAAAGATCCGGTTTGCCACTTTGTGTGCCATGTGTCGTCGTCGTCGTCGTCGTCGTCGTCGTCGTGTGTATTTTGGAGTTTGTTGTATGCGTTTTTAGAGAGAGTGTGCGTGTGCGTGTGTGTGAAAGGAAGGGCGGGTCAACGAACTCGCCTATTCGAGCACCGTCCAAAGTCGCTTGGCTATGGTACTTGAATTTCAGACGATTTTGGTCGATACGTTTGATGTCGATCACATGATCCAGTGTCTTCTAATGCTTCTCTTGGATAAAGTAGATCTGGAGCGAAGGAAGAAGAATTACGCTAAATTCGTGCATACTAATTTGTCATATTGATTCTCAATTACTTTCATGTATTCCAGTGAACTTGTCCTGAATAAAACACGATATGAAGCAATGTATTAAATAAAGATGTAAATTGTTTGTTTAAATGGATTAAATAAAATTTGCTTGGTATATATAAAGCACTTATAATAATTTACTGAAAGATTCGAGCGTGTTAATCCCGCGAAAATGTCATGAACCAATAATATTTATTGTATAGACATTTTATATTTTATGTAGATGAGAGGCAGTTTGAAGTCGAATTAATATGCTCGTTAGATATTCAAATAAAATGTAAAAATATGCGCCGCATAAGATGTATTGATTTAGTATTAAAGTACATTACAATACATTCTCGAATGTAAATATAAAATATATCTAAATTTCAGATTGAAAGATGTAAATCTAGTCAGTATACCGAGATAGTTGTGAATCAATTGAAATAAACAGGTTTTGGAGACATTTGCATAGTTGCGTGAAACGATTCCTTTTAAACATAAAGAGCACATTGCACAGAACATTTCAAAATTATTCGCTCATTAAACTCCTACATAATATGACCCAGATGTAAAAGTGTCATTTTTCACTAGGAAAACAATAATAGTGATGTATCAATACCTTCTTTTCATCCCCTTTTAGTTCTCTCTCTCTCTCTCTCTCTCTCTCTCTCTCTCTCTCTCTTCTCTCTTCTCTCTTCTCTCTTCTCTCTTCTCTCATAAATATGCTAATACTCAATAGCGCACTCATTCCACATTGATTCCCGACAAGGCTCGAAGAGGAAAAAAGAGACCACCGAGTTTTTCCGAACAAGGGATCCCCTCCCTTTTCCCCCCACGTGGATTTATATATGGGACAGATAGTCTTGAAATCAAAGTCCTTTGCGAATCAACATAGTGGCGAATCAAGAATTACGAAATAAGATGATAACTATCCTTCTCTCTCGCTCTCTCACTCTGTCTCTCTTCTCCCTCTGTGCGTGCGCGCGCGTGTGTTCTTGTCCGTGCTCGTGTGCGTGCGTTTGTGTAGAATGTACAGAGAGGAAGAGTTTCTCTATAAATCTCCATGAACGTCCGGAGACACAATGGTAATTACCCCAAACTAAATTGAGACATTCGTGATTCTCACCTGCTCAATGCATATTTACAAGCCAAGTGTCAAAGCTATTAGGGAGTCGAGGTATGCAGAATTTTGTTAACAGGCCAGTAACTAGAACAGATGTTGTACAATATTATTAATGCGATTCCACATACCTATACCAATGACTATTTTAATATCTCGAATGTAATAATTACGTTTAATCCATAACTATAAACCATTTTCATCCGTCTCATACAATACAATTGTAGTGCAAATAGTATGATAATTAATACATAAGGTAATCCATTTAAGAAAACGTGCAAATTTTACAAATTTCATAAAGCTTATTTTAATAGCTATTTAAGCCCATTAATAGAACCTATCTCAATACGTTAAATAATTATAAATAACATTGGGAAGAATTCAGAAAAATAGTCACACGATACACGCCGTTATTACAAATAATCGAGGGACAAATGTAAAAACGCGTCGAAACGCTTTTCCGTTCACTGACTTCGCAAGCTTCGCTGCAAGCCCCGAGCATGCGATAATGTTCATTAATCGAGTATCCCGTAGGAGGCGCGTGCTCACTCTATAGCTCCTAGTGCCCAAAAATTTCACACCGTGCAAACCTCGACTCGCACGGTAGTCGACGAGTACGAAGCAATCGCCACCCACTCCTGCCTCCGCCTCACCCACCCCAAGCAACGGCATGATTGTCTGCGCGCGCGCTTGTTTTTATGCGCGGAATAAGGTCGCTTCCTCGACGACTCCGGCTCGCGAGGATACCACGCCTGCAACGACCGAGTCCCATTCCCCCCGCCCAAGCGATAAATCGAGGAATTGGATAGATCGAGTTAGTCGTGGACGTAGCGGTCACTCTTGGAGGGAAACTCACCTCTAGCGGGAGGCAGGGGCTGGATGAGGCCATGTTCCTACATGCGTTCGAGCCTCTGCCCTGCTGGCGAACGACCGTCCATTGACATCTGCCACCTCCTCGGGCCGTCTATCTCTCTTGCGTTGAGGGTGCACTGCCTATCGAGTAGCTCAGCGCCGTCGCCGCTGCACCACACACGCGCGCACACACGCGCGCACATGCACTGGGCGAGGGTCGGAGGCCGCTCGCCGACGGCGACGAGGTCGAACGAGGGTAGGCGAGCGATCAATCGGTCGGTCGCTCCGACGATCGGCCGGCTGTTAAGAAAACGATGGGCGCCCCTGTACCCTCTTCTAACTCATCCTCGGCTCCTCGCTCTCTGGTTCACCCTCTCCGCTGCTTTCAGGCCCCCGCACTCACTCGCTCGCTCACTCTCACTCTCGCTCTCACTCTCGCGCTCTCTCACTCTCTCAATCTCTCTCGCTCTCTCTCTCTCTCTCTCTCTCTCTCTCTCTCTCGTAATCTCTCTCCCTTTCTCTCTCTCTCCCTCTATCTCTCTATTTCACCCTCTCGCCCTGTTTCACCCTGTCTTACCCTGTATCGCCCTCTCTCGCCCTCCCTCACCCTCTCTCGTCCTCACTCGTCCTTCCTCGTCCTCTCGCTCGTTAAGTCGCTCGCTTGCACTCTCCTCTTCCCCGTAGCAGTTTATCTGGCTGGGCTCGCGCCTCCTCGTCTCAACCCCCGCTATGCGACTCTGGCCTTCACGGCGGGGCGATCATCGGTCTGCCCACCCCCCGCCCGTCCCTTGGAGTCGCGGGCCGCGCGCGTCCACCGCCTTCCCGTTCCCAGCAGGTTCCGTCGCGCACCCGCACGACCTCTCGTCTCGCTCTGCCTACGACACGCCGAGCATCGAACTCGTGCACGCCACCAGAGCCGGACGCTCGCTCGACTACGTCCTCGGCGCTCCTTTTCCCTCGACGCTCACCGTCGTTGCCGCCAACGCCGCCGCCACCACCACCACCACCACCACCACCACCACCACCACCACCACCGCCATCGCTGCCGCCACCGCCGCCGCCGCTTCCGACGCCCCACCGTACGAACGAACATGCGCCGGAGAGGCTGCGCACGCTTATCCGGCCAGGGCCGTACTTTTTTTGTCCCCCAACGACGACGATGATTACGAGGACGACGACGCTGCCGATGGCGATGATGATGAAGAGGAGAACGCGAACGAGAGAAAGTGTGGCATTCGTGAGAAGAAAGACCATCGATTTATTACATTATGCGAGCCGTCTCTGCTCGATTAACCAATTCCTCAAGGACTGTGTACGATATATCGAATTATCTACTGTATTTTAGGGTCGCAGGACCACGTTACTTCATTTTTCTTCTTCCTTCATTTGAAGTATATGACCATTTAAAAGTAAGCTTTTGTCATTCAACATATTTACACAAATGAAAAGGCTCTCAATTGTCAATTATCATTATAGAGAATAATGTATTGTATAATTATCGGCCCCTTAATCTCGTTTTATGGCAAATGCACATTTGATCCTTTTAAACGTCACTTAAGGCAGCCAAAACTATGCGCTTATATCCCTACTCTACTCTCATCATTTATTGTGATAAACTCACTCTTCGTCATTTTTATTGTTTTTAATTATTGATTTTGAGTTGTAAGATTTGTCAAATAAAAGAAAATTATTTTATATAATTAAATTTATATTAATTTATAAAGTGAACATTACTTTTGAAAAACTTTATAATAATTCAAAACACTAAATTTTTAATTGAATAGTTGGAAAATAGCAGGTATGGTATTGAATTGAATAGGTAAGGTATTGAACAATTAGAAAATTCTAAACTGTTGTCAAACATAGATATTTTCTTCATTGATATAAAATAATAAAATTATAGATTAAAATTGTAGATATAAATGAAAGAAACCGCGGATAATTTATAAAAACATAAAATTTTGTACTTTCATTATTCCAAATAGTGTATAAACTTCATTTAAAACTGAAAAATATTTTTTGAAATAGTCCTTATTTATGTTACATGGCTAATAGTAGTTGTCCTATATCCTTGGAGGTTTACATTTTCCTCTCTTTTATACATTTTTTTAATCCAAAATTCGTTGAAACTGTTATAATTCAATAAAATTTTTGAGAAAATTATCACCTCTAATTATATAATTATTATAAAATACTGTTTACAACAATATTTTTAAGTTTCAGATAAGTTTAAGAATACAAATTTTATATGTTATTGTACAATGTGAATGTAATTGTCGACGAAATAAAGCACTTATTTCATAAAACTAAGTAAATCAGAATTTCTGTTTTTTCCAAATACATTATACAAATATTTATTCTTTAATAAAATATATTTTTAATTGTCTGGTCTATTCTATTTTAAATCTAATATTTTATTGTCTTAATTGTAGATAGATTTTTTATGAACGTTAATAAATCCTTCTATCCATTATTCTTCTAAAAAATTCATATATGCAAATCGCGGTGGTTATTGTTATATGTTTATACTATTCTTTTTGAATTAATTAGATAAATATTTTTTATTTGACATTTAACTCAATAAATAAAATTGTTAACAATACTCCGATTTTTAATACACGATGGTACTGAAATATTTAGAATAAAATTATTTATTATATTTGGCTAAAATCGCAGTTAAAAGAAATATATTTCGCGTCACACTCTCGTCGTCATATAGAGATGGAATATTATTTATAAATAGTATATTAAATACACACATGTATGTACATATTTATATATAAAATAAATATGTCTCCAATTTTCTTTTATCAAAATTTAATATAATTTATATTATATTTATATTGATTATTAAAAATCTTCTAGTTTTTTTATATACCATTAAATTTTTCTTAACGTAAAAATATTTTCTAATTAAATTTATATATGCAAATATTTGATTCCCTTTTTGAAACAGAATATCTCTAATCCAATCTCGAATCTATCAATTTACATATGCATTTTCTAAATACTAATATACTTGTTTTCTGACTATTTTTATCATTTTAATTTTTTAATTTTCATGAGGATTCATTATTGAAAGTTTTCAAGCCATCAAATATAGGATTTCAGCTGTTTGTTTGAATTTTTTATAACTCTTACCAGAGAATAAGCAATATTTTAATTTATAATTCTGATGAATAAAATCTTTAAAATAAATATTTTCAATATTACCAAATTTATTAGATTTAACATTTAACATTATCAAATTTAACAATAAATAATATTGTCTTTCTATATCTGTAATTATTAAATATGCATTAGTTATATGGCCGATTTGTTGAAATTTAGAAAAATTTAGTCTAAAATATTTAGTGTAGTGGTAAGTTTTAGTGAACACTTACTTCAGAATTTTCTTTCAAATATAAATTTATTACTTATGTTGTAAATATAAGATTTGTAATTATTATATGTAATAAATAATTATTTCAAGTTACACGATATGTGGAAAATTCATTTGTAAATATATTAACAAATTTTATTATAATACCATTATTTTCAATTTTATTATTATTTTAAGTACTGCGTTCATAATACTTTATTGGGGCTTTTATATTTTCAAATTAATTTTCTATGTGATAATATAGATATTGAAAAATACATAAATGTCTATGTAAATGTCTTAATTTACTAAAAATATAGATTTTATTATCCATCTAAAATATTTATGTTGTTAATATCTAATTATGCTTATCGAATTATTTTGTATATGTATTTTTTTACTTAAAATAAATATTATACTGAATCTAAAAATAATAATAAATAACATAAGTGCGATGCAGTATCAATACTATGGATATACTATTTATCAATTAATTATGTTACCTGATATGTAGAAAATGAAAAATATGTCATTATTATCAATGTATCAATGAATATAAAAACAATTGCTACTTTTGCATTTCTATTAAAAAAATTCTATTACTTATATAATTCGATACTTTTACACAACTAGATTTAACACATAACTAATAAGAGAAGTGTTGTTTAGTTATAAAAGTTCACATAAGACTGTATATTTACAATGGCTGTGTCATTATCTTATAAAAATAATAAGGTATTCCACAAAAAATATTGTGTAAAATTGATATAATCTCGGCTCTTTTCGAACACAAATTTATTAATATCGTAACCAACAGTTTTCTAATTATTTTTAATTCTTTAGTAAACTATTGTTAGTCAAATTTTATTTCAAAAGTCTCGTGTACATCGTTGAATCAAAATTCTCATATTTTACATCGATGATATGTATATTGAAGAATAATTATTTTTAAGAAATTAAAAATTCATTAAATAATTTATAACGAAATATATACGATAATGCTAATCGACATATTAGAGAGATTAAAATTACTCGATGAACAAGGTTACCTCATTTAATGTTTGTTAAATACTTAATGTTACAGGACTGGTATAAGATAGTTTAAGTATATCGTTACATAGAATTTGAGTTTTACTTGTCGATTTTATAGCTTGGAAATATTACATATTCGAAATACCAACCGTTATATCAACATTTTACACATACTTTAGATTTACTGAATACATGCATATTGATGCAAACAAAAATTATTTATGTAGTCTAATAAAATATAAATATTATAATATAATGAAAGAAAATGTATGTTGAAACGCATTTGAGATTATGATTAACAACTTCGATTATCGGGCCACACAGGCAAAAACCAATAATATAAATAACTCAAAATGAATATTATTATAATATTATCCGATTAAGTAATTGTTCTTCTCGAAATATTTCTCTATTGTTAATGCATCCTGATATTACTTAAAATAATAATTAATACAATATTGAAAAGAATAAATTACTTAATAATAAATATTTGCTTGTGCATAATTTTAATAACAAGCATTATATTAAAAAATTCAATATTTTATAATAACTGAATTGAAAATAAAATCAGTTATTTATGAAATATACATTTCTCCCTATATTATATTAGAAATTATTTAATATTAATATATCTTAAAACACAATTTATTTATATAATAATTCATATGTAATCATAATTTAACAATTAGTGGATAATATAAGCATTAATTCATTAGTTTATGAAAATCTGCGAATTTCAACATATTACGTGACCCAATTTTTTATTTATTTCTCAGTTTTCTTAGCTAATAATTTTCTATATAAACCCAATTGCAAGTCTACTCATCTTTTGTAATATTATGTGTGTATCTATATCTACAGTCTCGCATTATCCGATTAATATTTTATTACGACAATATTCATTGAATTTACAAATAAGATATGAT